GCTGCGCCTAGAACACAGGAATAATCGACATCTGAACACACCAGCCTATAAATCTCTCCCAGAGCACGACTGTACACTCAAACTTTACCCCTCTCGACTAGTTCTTTCCACGACTATTCCGCCTATCCCGCCCATCGTCCACCGCACCCTCCCGACTCGGCGAGGCCTAAACACCTCCCAAACCGGTAATTCTCCGAAACCTTGCAGCATCGTGGCTTCCACATCCAGAATCCAGACAAGTCCAAACGGGCCATTTGCTCCTAAGTCTCAACCCCCAATGTAAGCACCCAACGCCACACAATTCATAGCAACCAATGACACTGTCGCTTTCACGAAACCTCAATGCCGTGGACCGCTCCAGATCAATAGGGCACAGACAATTAGGAGCCGCACGTAAAGAGTATATCTTCCCCTTGCGTTCTTGTCAGTGGCCAATTAGTCTAAACGCAGTCGATAATTCTATAGGTCTATATCGTAGAGCTGTCTAAACTCACCGATATAGCTGCTAGACATCCGTTTCGGCGGAGCCACGTTGTGAACTCCAAAGGCCGGTTTTAACGGAGCAGAGCGCCAACGAGATCCCGTTCGATGATAGGCCGATGACCATGACCATGCCAAGAGCCAATTTCCAACACCAACAATCTTCACATACCCTGTCCCCTTACTGGGGAAACATTGCATGTTGGACTACTCCATACCTTGTCAATGTTCACAAAGCGACCTAGTCCGCGACGCCCTGCATGTGTCGACGTCAGCCCTTCTACCTTTTGATAAGCTAGCGCGCCTCTCTCTATCCATGCCCATTTCGTATCAAAATTTCGCCGCGTCGAGGAAGTCGAGCGAAGGTAACGGCTCAAGCCTCCTGGGTAAAGCGTTCGTCTTGCGGGATCATAGTTGATCAGAAACAGATAGGTCATGGCCAACCCTCATCAAAGGGTAACATTTTGGCTTGCCAGGTATGACTCGATCTTAGTCCAGAGAGCCCGTTAGAAGCTTTTGGATGGAAGCAGGGTTGAGTATTGTCAAAGCCGGCGTCAATCCGACAGCTCAGTTTCGCAATCACAACATTTCACCGGGCGGGAAACACTACCAGCAGATATACACACTTCATTACCAGGCCCTAAGAACACACCTTCGCGGAGTCTCTTGTCTAACTCTTCGAATTCAAAAGCCCCAAGTAGCTTCTGCACATCAATATTTGTTTTAAGGCTCTGAAAACGCAAATAGGCCTTGTTTACGAACAACTTTACCTAAAGGCTAATTGCCATTTCAGAAATGTTTACGCAATCCCATCGCCATACGGAACGCACATAATCATAACGCAATTATCAACCCACCGATCACTTTTCACCTACAATTTACGTCACAAAGACGTAAACCTCAACACGCCTCAACCTCCGGACTAGGGAAAAAAAAAAAAAAAAAAAAAAAAAAAAAGGNGGAATAGGGAAAAAAAAAAAAAAAAAAAAAAAAAAGGGCCAAGATGTCGTTTGATCTTCTGCGCAAGCGCATCTGTGTCTAGGAAGGGGGGTAGCTCGGCACACACAATTTCTGCAATCATCAACAACCGCAAGGTCTGCCCTTCCCTGCGCTGTAATCGCCTTGGCTACCCTATTCGAACTGGGGCCGGTGATAAAACGCACATGTACCTGTATGCAGAATGCCTTGATTGCATCCTCGTCACGGCTTAGTCTCAAAAGGAACGTCTCGAGCCATATAACCCGCGGTTGAGTCTTGGCCCGCAACTCGCTTCTTCGGCCCACGGCATCCCGAGACGTAACTCGGGACTGCCGAGCCGTGTTTGACGAAAGGAAGCCCACAGGCCAGTATAGATTCACGAAATTAATACACACTCTGCAATATGTCTTTCCCCTTCTTATCTTTTCGGTTTGCTCACAGATGGAGCAACCGAGTAACCAGGACAAAGACTTCACCGACGGTAAGGTACGTCTACCGATCTCTACACGACGAACACCGGGTAAGATTCCGCGGATATGGATTCCGAACTCAGGCGGGAACTAATTAGCAGCTCCCATGACCGCGGACCTTAACTCCGTAGCGTGACGGAGCACAAGGAAGGGGGGACAAAATGAAAAAGACCGGAGAAATTGGCCGGTCAAGCTAGCTGGGGTTCCCAGCTCCTTGGGTTGCCAATCTGTCTGCCCACCAAACGGCTTACGGCCGGCAAGATGATGGGTCATGTTGTAGTCCCGCTGATGGTGTCTTCTCCTGTACGAATAGACTACACAGTGTAAGTCAACCGATGTGAGTGTCAGCAACTATTCTGCCGGATGGGCGGGGGAGATGTCTTCGCAATGGATCGTAGTCTTTCCTGTCTCATCATCGGGGGGAGGGGAAAGGCGTGACATCTATTCTCTGTCTAGTCATCATCTAGTCGATATAAACCCCCCCCCCCCCCCCCCCCCNAAAAACCCCCCCCCCCCCCCCCCCCCCCCAAACGAATCAAGAATTGGCGTCCCGCCCGAAGCGCCAGAACAGGTCAATTGTTGCACGACATGAACAAACACCGCTCCTGCTCCTCGTCCCCCCACCAAAGAGTCTTTAATGGTGGTTGGTGTAAATCAATACGTCTGCACTCTCGTGGCACACACGCTCTCCCCCAAACCACCCCTGTCCTTGTCCGTCAGCAGTCCCCCCCGCTCTTCCTTCCAACAACGTCCGCTTCAATAGTTCACTTTGCGCGTCAGCGTTCGTTGGCCGGCGGCCACTTTGTGCGGGCCGTTAGATGGGTAGCGCGTCGCCCAGGCGGACCGTCATCTTTTCACAGCGGCCGCATTTCGTGGGTGTGTGATGTGAGCCTTTCCTTCGAGGGCAGGTGGGCGCAAACGGCGAGAGAGCCGTGCCGTAAGGGAGAGCCGGGATTAGCAGTGACCTTGGCGAAACGGAGAAAAAAAGTAGCTAGGGTGCGGTCATGTTTAAACGGTGCTGCTTTGGCAATATTGCACGGCTGGATTGAAAATCGTCGGTCACCCTGCAGGCTTCTAAGGATCAACGCCTGTGCCGTCAATGACGTTACATAGCACCGGCTCGAAGTATTTTTTCTTTCGAGAAGAATTGCGCGAGCGCCTTCGAAAACGTGTGTGGGTACCCGGCACGACAGAGTGGAACCGTTATGCCCCTATCGAACGGGCCGGTCAGTCGATTACTGTCTCTTACTGACGTCCTGTCCACATGGCGCAGGTCAGATGAGAGTCTGACCGGCACAGATTGACAAGTGAGGGGTGATCCCCTACTACGTCTCCCAGCATTCGACCGCACTATCCGCTGCTCAGGTGCAGTCTGCTTCAAATCAAAGCCCTTCTCAGCTTCCACGCACAGGTTTTGGGGCAGACCAATAACGACATTTGTGTGATTCAACCTGCATCCTGCTCTCTGTGGTATAACGCAGCCGAGGACGACGGACCTACGACCAGGGATCTGGGGAACAAGGATAGGACCGTATTATTGGAGAGCTATTTGGGTCTGTTCGTTGGTTGGGTCGCACGGAAACTTGAAAGTGGCAGCACGGAGATAACCCCGGCGATGTGACCGGGATACCGGACGCTAATGATCCAGTGCTAGTCGGCGTGGCTCGGCTGCTCCCGGCCACCCGGCCTCAGCGTTTGTTCTTCCTCCCCTAGTCTAGACGGCGGGTGGTTCATGGCTTCGATCCCTGGCCACATGGGAAATGTTAGGGTCTGTGTGTAAGCTCTGCATCAGGCCATTGGGAACCCCCCTTTTTCAAACTTGGCAGCCATCGCCCAATCTACACGAGACTGTGCGAGTTGCGATATCGACCTGCCTGATCGGCGGTGCTAAAATCGGTTTCCCTTTGGCATAACCTCGGGAGAGACAGGGTGTGTCTGACAAGCTCGGGGCCGAAGGTTGATTGATGATCGTCGGTTGGGCTCCAATGACTTATTACTTGTTGCGGCTCTTAACAAAAAGATCGGGGTCCTCCACCAAATGTCTCTCCATTTACATGTTTATCGACATTTTCCGTCCCCATGCTGGTTGGGCTCGCAGAAGTACAGGCAACCCCCAAAATTTTGTCATTTATGCTGAGTTGCCGTCCTCACGCTCCGGTTACTGCGGAGAAAAGGGGCGTCGAGGTTTTTGAATGTAAACCCCTTGCAAAAAAAAAAACCCGTTCGCGAGGAGAAACAGGCCTCCAAACCGCAAGAGGCAGTCTGAACCTGGGAAGCAGTGCTGTTGGTCATGGCAATCTCACCTAGGTGTCCACCCCGGGCCCCTTGCTTATGCCGGATCAAACCCAAATTGGCGGACCTTGTCTGGCTTGTTCCTGCTCAACGAGACCGATCGCACAGGCCATATGTTAGCGGCTCATCCTGAAGAGGAGAGTGATTGTTCGGGTTTGTCAACCCTTCGATAGCATTTTGACAGCTAACCGATAGGGGAGATCCGAGGCCATTGCGGAATATTACCATACATCGCATTGCTGACGGATGATGCATATGATAGGTGCCACGACTGTTCTTCATGTGTCCTTGTCGGACATGGTCAGCAACACAGAGGATCGCCATTGGGGCGCTCTGCTTACTGTCGAACAGCCCCTGTCTAGTGTTGCGGTGGGGGACAGCCACACTGCCGAGGAGGTTTTGTGCTGCGAATTTGACACGCACTTCAATCTTTAGGGCTCCTGGAAACAGGAACAAGGTGGTACTCGGAGCCGATGTATACATCCGTCACTTCTGGGATAAGAGCCAGCACTAATGGTCGGCTGTCAGCCAACGGGGGAGGCACCCCGCATCCAACATGGAGGGAGCGGTCCCGGCGTGCTGTGTTCACATTGTGAAGGTCATACAAAGCGACGTCATGGCGGTGACGATTGGCGAAGGAATCGACAGGCGTGGGTGGTGCAAATTAGCCCAAAGGCGTCGTCGGCGATTGGTATCATGTTATGTACGTGAGATCTTTGTTCAGATCTTTCGCCAACTGTCTTTGTATCTTGCCCACTCTCGAAAACCTTCGCCAGCGCGTTAGACGGGAACACGAAGTATTCGAAGGTTCTGCTTACCTAGACTTTGAAAGCCAGCATTGCCCCCTTTGACACCATCGATGAACATTTGCTGCATACCTCGGTCGGCCAGCAACTTGACACAGGTATCTAGCAGTCGAATCATAACCGAGTCCCGGCTATTCACCATTTCACGATTATCATCTGGAGCGCTTTGAGTGAGCCACTGACTTCGCGGGGTCCTGATAGTGTTGCCACGAACCTGTGATGCAAATGCATGTTACGCCACCGACATCCGCGCCAATGGTCTTGGCCCACGGTAGGTCGTCCTCGGTTGGGCTTCCAGTGTTGGGGATGTACGTCAAAGCGACAGCCACGATAGTCTCGCCCTCTAGACCGATGACAACGTCCTCAATGTTTGGAGTGCCGTCCAGCCTCGCATATTGGTCATACCATCCCATGTTCCCCTTTCGTATCGCGTCTCTGTCTACAATTTGCAGAACTTGATGAAATTCCATAAAGTCGCACCGCCGAAAAGTTAGTCCTGCTGAGGATAGACTGGTTGCTGGCATATCGTCAAATCGGAGAAGCCAGTCCGAAACCTCCTGTCCATGCATCTGCCAGCCTCGGCGAGCAAACCATTCTTTTGCAAAGAAGTCTGACGGGACCCCGTAAAGTAGGCGTGGGAAAGCCGTCCCAAGCTGAAGCCGTCTGACACCTCGTGTTCTCTGTAGCATCTTTAATGCATTGTCGTGTAGGCTCAGACCTATACCTCGCCCTCGATACGAGCTTTTGACAATCAAGACGGCCAACGAGCCTAGAAGACTCTCCTGATCACTGTCCGTAAATGTTGTGTATGTCGCACAGAAACCAACAATCTCTCGAGTATCGGGGTCTCGCACGACGTAGTTCATCGTATATCCATCCCGTTTAAGAAGGAGAACAAGAGCAAATTGAGGTAGGTGATATTTTGGCGGTAGACATTCTGTCCAAAGTTTGTGTATTGGCGCCATGTCCTGGCCACAAACCTCCACAGGCCAATGTCGTGCCGCACTGATGATGAGATTTTGCACAGGCACGGCATTGACAGGCGGGGGTCGTTGATCTCCAAACATGATTGAAGCTGCGCTTTCGAGGTCCGATGGTGCAAATCCCCCGACTTGTACAATCGTGGCAAAGTTTTCGAGAACATCCGGATTTGCCTTGACGTTGTAACATGCCACTAAAATTTGTGGGCGTTCCTCAGCCAAGGACCGCGCGGTTTCCGCCAGCTCGACCTGCGAGACATCGCCGTCTAACGGTGGCCCGGAGATGACGAAAACCATCGTTTTCGCTCTCTTTATGAACTCGGAGTGAATATTGTTGATGCCGCCTCGTTTGGTATAGGGAACATGGCGGACCATAGAATGCCGCGCAGCAATCGCACGGCCCAGCGGTTCGAATGGATCTCGATAATTTTCGGCGTTTCTGCTGTATGGGACGACAACGGGCGTGAGGAGTACAATGACATCGTCTTCCGACAGACACCTTCCAAGTGGGATACAATCCTGCTGATCCCGTAGCAACATTGCCAAAGCCCCTTGAGTCGGTTTTGGACTGCTCCTCGAGCCGACAAGACGGTCGATTTGCATGTCAGGGGAGTACCTCATGTCGAATATCTCAGACACCTAAAGATCGAACTCTAGCTCATCCCTACCAAAAGGTTAGCTGAGGTTACACAACGGTTCAGAACCAATGTTGTATCATGAATACGCTTGAATGAAGCGATATCAATGACTGAGCTAACCTGTACAGTGGATGAGATGCCTTGCACGGCATGAGGAGACGACAGTGCCGACAATATCGTCCGTGGAACTGGCTGACTGAGCTTCACCAACTCGGTCGAGAAGACAACGGCACTTGTACAGCCTGAAAAGTTGTCAACATCGACAAGTTGATGCGTGCTCACGCAGGAATCGTGTGGTAGGTAGCGGGAAAGGGGTTCGTCAATCCTAAAATAGCTGTGGTTGAAATGGTTCCTGGGCCCGGGCGCTTTTGAATTCTATGCGGTATGATCGAATAGACTCAAACCTTCGCATACAGGGTTGTCCGAGAAGGTCAATAATGACTACCACTGTCGATAGCGCTGAGCAAGTTGACGAGATAGGAGGCTCATGCCGAGGCAGTGTCAAGCCGAGGACGGAAAGGAGCGAATGATGCTGCCTGCTATTTCAAGTTAAAGGGCTGCGTCAGCTAACTAAAGATGACTGAGAGACGAAGTCGAAAGATACGCAACGGAAACATAAGGGACCCGCAAGTCTAAATGTTGTCACTTGCATCGTGTGGGAGGAACAGGAAGGTTACACATACCGTGACGAGCTAGCAGCAGAAAAGAGTCTAAGAGACGATGTCCTTTGGTGAGCTCTTTATCCTGATAGGCGTGGGAAGAGCACTGCATAAGGCCAGCAAAGAGTGGGGTGTGTACAAGAGGCGAGCGGCGGAGGAGACAGGGTCAGCCAGGCTGCCGGGTAGACTGAATGGAGACTGATGGAGAAAATCTTGAAACGACATGCACACGGACATCATCAGCGGATTGCATAAATCCAGCGCTGAGCGACTGTAGGAAGGTAATAGCATGGTACTGTGGATGTAGGCAGGTAGGACAAGACGAGCAAAGCGCGCAAGCGGCTAATGTCCAAGGACCTCCACGCCTCATGCGGTGGGTGGTGGGTCGCAGTAACAGTTAATCAATGAAGAGCGACGTGGTTCCTGGTCCGGGGGGCATCTGACTGATACAATGGCAAGTTGGCTGTGTGAGTATGCTTGCACGGACAGAAAGAGTGTGTGGCCATGGACAAGATGAGGATGGAGGGACGGTGGGAAGGATGGATGGCTGGACGGGTGTATCCCAATGCAACCGCTGCGGTACGGGGCGGCACTAGGTCCGTTTGCTGGGGGTCAATCTATGGATAACGGAACAACGAGGAGCGGTCTTTTACCTTGATATGCTGACCACCGGGCAAACCATGCAGCTGCCACTTAGCAACACGAGGGGCTCACATAGGTTACACAAAGTAGCTGCAGATGAATTGACTCCGGCCGGTGCGAGGTGAGATGAGAAAGGAAGGGTAAGCAGACGCCAGCGCATGACGGTCGACCGTGACACAGAGCCAAGATGATGACAGGAAACTGGAACCAGACCTCGTGAGACTTGCTGCTCGATCAACGCAGCCCCCAAACCCCCCACGGGTGATGGAGCAGGAGACTTGGAAGACTTTGCTTCAGACGTAAGTGAAAGGGTGAGGTGTCTTCTCGATTTGGGCATAAGAAGCGGGCACTTGGTGCACGAGTACCGTCATTGAGTGCCATTCCAAGACCAACCGCAGTCTTGGTGCTCTCCAAGTACCAAATGCTCGGGGTCTGCATACAGAAAAAGGAAAGTCCAAAACGAGATTGCCGGGACAAAATAGCTCAGTCTAGGCTGTTGGTGGTGTAACTGGTGTTTGTCAGGGTAAGAAAAATAGGGTTTGCCGGGAAAATCCTACCAACAAAAGGCAGGAGAAGGAAGAGTCGGCACAACAGGGGCGGGATGATGGTAGATGTTGAGTCTCAATCGGGCGTCTCTCGGCTGTGGAGACGTCGGGCCGCGAACAATGGCACAAAACGTTGGACCCTGGGTAGGACCGGCGAGGGTCCTCGGTGACTTGATCTGGCCCTAGTATGGCAGTGATGGGCATAGGTTGCAGTCGATGGACATGTCGACAGCTGGACTTCCAACTTGCGAGATTCAACGGCGATGGAAGCGATCGACGCGGCCTGGGGGAGACAACAAGGGACGATTAGACCAGGGCTTGACATAAACGCACCAAACCCGATCCGTGGGAAGGAAAATGAAAAAGAGAGAAAAAAGCGGCGTGAATGGTAAGCAGGCTACATCACCTTGCGCAGCGATGTGGAGGCGAAGAGAAAAGGTGGTTTGGTCTGGCATGGGTGGAAGTGACGGAAGGATTCTGACGAAGCATTTTGTGTAGCACGTCTGTGAAACAATGAGGTCGGAAGCGGACGTCAGTCGGTTTCGACCCGGCTTATTGGCAAAGCAACAATACAGAAATGCCGTCCCTGCCTGTCCACATTGTCGATTGTACGACTTCCATGCGATGCGCCAGGAGCATTTGATGGTGTCGGAAGGCGGCGGATAGTCGAGGAAGGTATGGTGCAGTGTGAGTGGAAGGAGTTGTAATACGGATACAGTTGCGGAACCAGGGGGTAGGCATCAAAGCGTAAGGTAAGGTAAGCAAGCCCAGGACTTTGCTATGTGCTCCGCACCCGACGTTACGGACGGTGGGCGCCGTTCCCCAGAAGCACGGTGTAAGATGAAGGTGTGGGAACGGTTCGTCACCTTCAGGCTTCCATAGGTTCGGGCAGGCGCCAGTGCGTCAAAATGGACGTCCCGTCAGATACGGGCGCAGGATGGCACCTTACCTTACCGTACCTTGACTAGCACCCCAGGTAAGGCACCTGCCTGCGGATACGGATGGAAACCCTGCCTTGCGCACCAGAGCTCTTTCCTTTGCAGAACAGGTGCAGATGCGGATAGATGAGAGAAGAATTGAGCAGGCAAGAAGAGCCTAGGGAACAATCCGAATTCCATCTCATTTCCTTCCTCGACTCGACCTCGACATGGAAGTCTGACGTTTGCGCCTGCGCCTGCGCCTACAACATCAAGCTTCCTTGTCAATGGCCCGCCTTGTGCAACGCGAGGTGAGGCCACGACTGGGCCCTTCCAACCCTTCTAGTCGCCGTGCATCTGCCGAGAGGAGAGTCGTGCTCCTCATCTCATCTAAGACAATGAGGAGAAATGTCCATCATCCCGAGCGCTTTCTCAATTGTCCGTCAATGAGTCGCAAAATGCCGGTACGCCTCACATATCACAAAGCCCGACTTGGACCCCAAATTCACGGCCAACTTTGGAATAAGCCCGGTCGAATGAGCGCAGGTCATGGCAGCCAAGACGGCTTGTACGCCGCTTACATACCTTTACCTGGGGTCGGTCTCGGGGCCGCAGCACGCAGCAAGCATTCAACGTGAGGTAAGGTAAGCAGAGCAGCATCCGCACGCATACGAATACACACTCGATGGGAAAGCCGGTGAGCCCTCTTGTGCCAATCCTGCCCTACCATCTCTTTTCCTGCAGCTCATCTCATCATGACCATCTCCTTTCCTGTGTCACAGTGCCAATGAGCCGCGGTCAGCCAAACGCGCAAATCGGGCATGATGCGACTTCGGACATCAATCATCAAACATGATCAGATGCTCGGATCATGAGACATATTTGCCTTTGTTTTTGCCCAGTACCTGCCAGGAGTCGCAGGCCAGATGCAGATTCTTGCCAAGAATCTCGCCTAGCTCTTTCTCACCGAGCAATGCTCCCATTAGCACCTACCAATTTCGTGGTGTTCATGGGTGGTTTTTTACCGGTGACCGAGAAGCCCCCACCCATGCTCGCCCAATCGACGGCAAGCACAGGCTTATGCTCGCTCACCCTCCCGACCGTCTTTCGTGCACCGTGCAGGTCCTCCACGGGCCTCCTCTCCAGCCCGATTGCAGCCGACAGGAGCTCATTCCGGTTGCTGCACTGGGCCCCCGGCCGCTGAGGAACCGCAAGTGGGGCTCGTCCGGCCATTGACATCCACAACCCATGGGCCATGCAAGGTGTGTGCGCCACTTTTTTCCCGGTCGAGGTAGACGCGCTCACCTTAGCTCTCTCACCCCGCGACGCGTCCACCACTCCGTTATTCGCGACCGAACGAGGACCACACCACCAGCCCGACCTCGGGACTGCACCACCGCTCACGGCGTCCCTGCATCTCCTGCGGTGCATTGGGGGTTTCCAAGGAACATAGGATACCGACCAAAATGGCTTCACCCACAGACGACATGTCTGTAGATGGAGACAACGACATAAACCAGCTTGTAGAGGACATCGTTGAGGGTGAGTTGTACTTGTTGGGTTTCATGTAAATATCGAAATACTGATCGATTCCAAACCCATAGCTTCCAAGTTACCGGCCAAGAAGCGAGCTACAGCCATTAGACCTACCGTGGACAAGGTAGCTTCATCGGCATATGAAAACGGCCTGTTGCCTGAGCCGCTCAATGAGCTCATAGATCTTCTCACGAGACCAAGCTATCTGGACCAAGGGAGCCTCAACGCCTTGCTGAAGAGTCTCTACCCTGCGACCAAGCTATCAAACGATGTTGTTTGGAGGGTAGTGGGTTGCCTGGGACACGGAGAGCTCAAGCCTTCGCTGAACTTGCAGTCGAATCTGCTCAAGTGGCTGATTATGGCGTATCATGTTATTGAGAATCCAGCAGTATTATCCCAAGCATATGCTGTTCTTTTCAACCTCCTCGACACAGCTGCCATCAGGTTGGATTCCCCTGGCGCACTGCACTGAAAAACTCAAGGCGCTGACGCCATCCAGGCCACAGCTCTGTCATCTTCTTGCTCTCATAACACGGAGAAAGCACGTTCGACCTTTCAGGATACAACTCGTGTAAGTCTGCATCGCTTTGAAGGGTGCAGGTGCAAGACTGACTTGATCGTCAGCCTAAACCTATCTCGAAATACCGGCAGCGACCCAGCTCTGACTGGTCTCCTTCGGGTATACAAGGACTACTATCCCGAAATCATTGTCAGCGATGCTCTCAGGGGCAGGGCGTCAGCGTTCAAGGTACAGCACGGTTGATTGTCCGTTTGGAAGCTTGTTCTAACACTCACAGCATCCCGACATGGAATGGAGAGAAAGATTGGATCAGATTCAGAGGGACCATTCCCAACGAACTGCCGATATCACCGGCCAGCCTCGAAACGGCTTTAGCGTCAATCACTCTGCTTTGAGAGCTCGCGGTAGAAAGGGGACGCATCTCCCCTCAGTTCATACCTCGGCCGCTACAGAGGTGAGACCATCATGTCCGGGCAAGATGTGGTGTTCCCATGAAACTGATTTCTGCAGAACTCCGTCACACTGGAAGAGATCGACAGTGCCGACCGGCTCGCCCAAAATATTGAGAAAATCGAGCTTCCCAACCAGCTGGCAGCAGTCTTGGCAGACCCCTTGCTTCAGAAGTTCATCGCTTTGAAGAAAGATGATGCCGCCTCGAGGCGCGTGATCCATTGGGTGGATGCTATCCTCGAGGACGTACTGAATGGGAATGCCGACGACAAGCTCTTCAACGAGACGATGGAGATCTTGGAAGACTATGTCACTCGGGTGAAGGTATGTGCTGTCACAGTGATCGAAGCAAGCCAGTCTGACCATAAAGGAAACCCCTGCCGTCGTCTTGAACTTCCTCGCCAAGCTCTTCACAACCTGGAATGGGGTAGATGCACGAGGCCCCATTCTCAACATACTCTCCTACGCGCCACTTGCTTCCTTCGAAGGTATACTAAACCCTTTAATTGCCCAGCGCAGTACTAACGATTTCAGAACTTCACAAATTCCTTTTCCAGCCGCTAGAAAGATGTCTACCACCAACACCAAATTCACAGCTTTCTCTTCTAAAACTCTACCAAAACCTCATTCGCCGCTGGACTTTCGTCCTCCGCTCCCTCGATCCGATCCCCCCTGAAGCTCCAGTCAGCGCCTTCTACGATGTGATGGAGCATGCAGGCATCATCGCTCTGAACCTGGTGCAAGCGACACCAAGCGTTGCGGTCCATGGTGCTGTGTTGGACCTCTACGAGCAGGCGGCGACCAGCATCTCCGATCCAACTCTCCAACCCCTCCTCCGCATCGCCAACCCGCCCGCGCAGCTCATATACCTCCTCTTCTTCAGCCACTCGCTGTCTAACGTGTCTCGTTTATGCGCCGTCCTCGCAGTCTACAAGAAGGGTTTTGAGACCGCCATGTCGCGCCGCCAGCCGACCACGTATCAGCCCAGCTACGTCAATCACTTCAATGGCTTCCTCATGGACGTCTGTAACTGTCTTTGGCGCGGCAAGGCCTTCAATGATGCGGACAAGAATGCTCTCGGCTGCCTAAGCGCCCGTCCCGTCACCTTACGTTTGCAGCGCTACGTTGAGGATCTAGGGATGGACCTCGCGCTGCCGACGCTCTTCGGCTTCTCCTACTCGCCCGTGCTGAGTCTGCAAGCTATCGACTGCATCCGCGAACGGGAGGATAGGGCGCTGGCGGAGGATGAAGACGCCATTGCCACTAGGCATGGTGGCCCTGTCACGGCCAACAGTCTGGCAAGGTTGGCTGAAGCCCGCGGCATCCGCGTGACGTGGTCCGAGTATAGAATACAAGTGCTGCACGCGCTGGAGGGCAAGGGCTTGGGCGGCATCCCGGCGCTGATGAGGAACACCATGAAGGTTCTTATGGGCTCTCAGCCACCGAAGTGAGCAAACCGCCAACATGCATCGGATCGGCCAAGGGAGTAGTTGTGATACCCGCCGCGAGCGACTCGCAGCATCAATCGATATGTATGTATTTGATACAAAATGTGTGCGACGTCTAAATGTCTGTCTAGTTGAGTCGACGAGACTTCTACCGCCAGAGTTGTAAAGCCCCCTTCTCGGTTGAAGACGCAGGGTATCAAGAGCCGTGAAAATCCTAATAGAAAGAGCCCGGGTATGCTGTTGTTGAACATGTATGCAACCAAACGCCATAGGGTGGGCAAGTTGAGAATGCCCCCCTTTTATTTCATAACCCTCCTTCCTCTTGTGGTTATCCCTCTAGGTGTCGTTGAGAGACACCGAATGCCGCCATAAGACCCAATCGTCATGTTCATGTTGAAAGAAACGCCCTTCATAATGCAGTTGAGTGCCGTATGCGCCATGGCCCATCCTGTTGAACGCGAAAAAAACAAAACAAAAACCACCTCTCCAGACCCAATTGCGAGATTTATCGCTTGCCAGACTCGTCACCGTAGCCTCCGTATCCACCAGCGTCGTACGTCTTGCCCTCAGGCGCGACGCGACCCTGGCTTCTCGGCCCACGATCCTTCAGATCCTTCCTCAACCACCCCAGCACCAGCTCGCCCAGGGTGCTGTTCCCAGTGCCCCCTTCGACATCCTTCAGGAACTTGCCCGCTGTGTCCCACTCCCTGACGGTGCCCAGGTGCATGTGCACAAGATGCGTCGGCCATCCGGCGAGGTTGTCCAGAATGTGCGTGGCGTACACGATCGTACACTCGCGGATCTCGGTCTCGCGCTTCAGCCAGCCCAGGAACTCGGCGCGGCTCAGCACGTCGAGGTCGACGGTGATCTCATCCAGCAGGAGAATCGTCCACGGGCGGATGAGCCCCATGGCAAGCTGCACGCGGCGCCTCTCGCCGTCGGAGACGGCGTGCATGCGCCAGGCGGTGTCAATGTCCAGCACCGAGACGAGCTCGTCGCGGCGGTCCGGGTAAGCGTCGCCGCCGACGCTGCGGAGGAGCTCGACGACGCCGATGTCAGTGCGCACGATGGGGTTGAGGACCCATTCCAGGCCGAGGTAGGTGACGCCCTCGAGGCCCTCCTTGAAGGGGTCGACGCCGCCAATGGAGATGCCGCCCTGCGGGGCGAGGCGCTTGCCGGCGAGCAGGCGCAGGATGGTCGTCTTGCCGGCGCCGTTTGCGCCGATGAGCAGGGTGCGCGAGCGGGCGGGCACGGAGAGGGAGATGTTCTCGAGGCCTGACGAGGAGTCTGGGAACTTATAGTTGAGGTTTGTGACCTCGATGGTTGGGGGTCGTTGGGCGGACATTGTGGGCGATGTATGTGGTGAGCGGATGCAATTGAGGCTGACTGAGGTTGCAGGAAGTGGGAAGGGAGAGGTGGTGGAGGAGGAGAGTGTATGCGACGAGGTCGGAAGTTTTAATGAGGAAAATTTAGAGCCACGATACACACCGCCCTGCGACTGAAGGCGTCATGACCCTAACTTATGGGATGAAAGGTGGGATGGTCTCACCCATCCCGAGCTAATCCCGCCCTCGTGTCGTGGGACAAGCACTGCTAGAACTCAATTGCCCCTCCATCCAAACCCCGCCGTGGCTGGGACCGACCGCCTGGGCCGGGGACCGCCGCGCAAAAGCCACAAGGGACGCAGCAGGGGACGGGCACCTAACCCATGGTCCATTTACGCCAAAATACGCGACTACACCAGCCCCAGGTCCTTCGACGCGTCTGCGCATCGTAGCAGTCAAGCTTCATTCTTGCACCCGCTGCCATTGACACCCTGCGAGAGCTTCTGCCAAACCATCACCAGCTCGACAACACACTCTCGTGTCTGCAGAGCCACGACCTCAAGATGGTGACCCTCGACGAAGCGACTGCGCTTTTACAGAAACCGGCGTAAGTCCTCCCACCCTGCTTCTACATCCCCATTCCATCAACCCCTGCCCAACATTGCCTTTTTCTGATATCGCGACACACGACTAATAAAGTCACGATCCAGCGACGCAGCCGCGGCCTCCTCGACCCTCGTTCGCGCCCCCTCCCAGTACAAACCTCTATCAACCTTCACCCTTCCAAAGGAGCGTTCCTACCAACAACAATATGCAGACGTCTACTTCCTGCGCCTCACCTCGATCAAGCCCGCAGTCGACGCCGTCGCCGCTGAAGCCTGGGACGGCACAGTCATAGGCGGCGAGGAAGCCCGCCATGTCAACCGCGTCCTCGATGTGCGCCAGGGCGAGCTGTGCTGGGTTACCGGCACCGTCTACATGGACATGCCCCTGAAGCCCAACATTCTGGAGGACGTGTCGAAGGACGTACGTATCTGCTCTCGCCCATTTCTACCCCCCCCTTGCCTCGATGAATCCCTATACTGACAACATCCACAGCGTTGGATCTCCGCCCCCATCTCCACAGACCGCTACTACTCCGACGACGTCGAAAAGGACCAAATCATGCTTGAGGACGACTCAGGCCGCATCCGCCTCGTCGGCGACGTCCTCAAATCAATCCACCTCGTGACGGGCTGCATCATTGGCGTAATGGGCACTGAGAATGCCAGCGGCGAGCTCGAGGTAATCGACGTTAAGTTCCCCGACCTCGCACCGCAACCCTCCCGCTGGTCCCTCACCCAACCACCTCCGTCCTCCGAAGACCACGACATGTCCGGCACAACGCCCTCCCAACAAAAGCCCTCCTCCAAGATCGCCATCGTCTCGGGCCTGTCCTTCTCCGGCACAGACGCATCCTACGCCCTCGAGCTGTCCCTCCTGCTTGAGTTCCTCCTCGGCGAGGCCCTCTCCCCCGAGACGCAATCCCAAATCACAAACATCTCGCGCCTAGTCATCTCGGGCAACTCCATCTCCACGACGGCCGCGAACCCGGCCCTCAAGACGGACGACGCTACAAACGGCAACAAGAAGGCGACGGTGAAGAAGTACGGCTACGACGCGAGCGCGTATAACCCCCTCCCGAGTCAGCTCTTTGACGAGTTCCTCGCGGACCTGCTACCCTCCATGCCCGTCACTCTCATGCCGGGCGCACAGGACCCCGCCAACGCGAGTTACCCCCAGCAGCCGATTCACTCGGCCATGTTCCCACGCGCAAGGCCATATGCGGCTGGCCCAGATGCCAAGGAGGCCGGCTGGTTCGACACCACGACGAATCCGTGGGAAGCCGAGGTTGACGGGTGGAGGATGCTGGGAACAGGAGGTCAGAATGTCGACGATGTATTCAAGTACGTCGACAGTGACGACAGGTTGGGTATGATGGAGGCCATGTGCAGATGGCGATGCAGCGCGCCGACGGCGCCGGATACACTCTGTGAGTTAACACCCTCTTTGCGACCTAAATATGCGTTGATCATAGCTAACACGTTCCCAGGGGCATACCCATTCCAAGACAATGACCCGTTCGTGATGAAGGAAGCCCCCCACGTCTTCTTCGTCGGCTGTCAGCCAGAGTTCGGAACAAGGGTCATTCAGGGCGCTGACGGCCAGACGACGCGGTTGATAACCGTTCCTTCATTTTCAGAAACCAAGGAGATCGTTCTCGTTGACACGGAGACGTTGGAGGTTTCCAAGGTCAAGATTTCGGCGGCATCATGAGGAAAAACAGGCAGCACATGTTGAGCACAAGACGGTCATGATTAGATATACCCCCTGAGCTTACGAAGATGAGGTGAAAAGCAAAAAATATTGACGCTACCTAGAAGCTAGGCTCCGTGAAGAAAAGCGAATCGCTGATGGGTAGACGCTCCCAAAGATTGTCGCTCGCCTCTCCCAATATGTTGACGGCGATATGTTTTGCCCCTGTGCCATTCCCGCCAGACCAGACTGGCTTCCATCCAGAGCAATCCTCAATTCCATGACGTCCAATACCAGAAGCAGAAGCAGCGCATCTTATTGCCGTTCTCTATGATCGTTATCCTGCCCCCAAGAAATACCAAAATCATTCGCGCCATCAGTCATAGTCCTGTCCCCATAGCATATCGTCATCCTCATCTCCTTCGTCGTCGTCGTCTTCGTCCCCTTCACCCAGCATTGCCGGGCCTTGAGCCTGGTTCTTATCCTTGAAGCCGTCCCAAAAAGCGCGAATAGACGCAGGGATATTGTCCAGCTGCGCTTGTGCCTCACCGGCCGCGTTGATCCTGTAGACCTCCATCTGCAGATCGCCCTTCCACGGGTCATCCTCGCCGCGGCGGGCACGTCGCACTTTCGCAGCGTACTTCATGTTGACCCGGATCCGCTTCTGCTCCTGCCTGTCCGAAATGTTGACAATGATCTCGATGAACTGGCAGGGCAGGCCGCGGAGCGCCTTCATCACCTCGGACGTCTTCTCGAAGAAGTTGAGGAAGGTGAGGTCGCCGGTCTCGCGGTCGCGCGAGGGCGTGATCTCGATCTCGATGGTGTGGATGCGGCACTTGATCGGCTTGAGGTTGCGGAAGACGGAGATGGCGTTGGCCATGCTCAGGAGGTAGCCCTTCTCGGTGCGGTTGGGCTCGGCGAGGATCTTGATGTGCCGGAACTTGTGGCCGTACCGGTGAATGTCGATCTCGACGTGCGGGTTCTTGGATGCGCCTGGGAGGGGCATGTCGTCGTTGTACTCATCGTCGTCGTCGGCGTCGTAGTCGGAAGAGCACTCCTCCATGGGCGCAAGGGGATGCTGCACCACGATCTCGTCCTCTCCGTCGCCAACCTCGGAGACCCTCGCAGGCGCCGTCTCTCTGAGGAGGTAGAGGAACTTGTTCCCGCCGTAGAAGATGTCGATGGCCTCTTTCCAAATTTCGCGGGAGGTGCGAAGGATGGCGGTATCGAGGCAAGGGCGGTTCCGTGGATAGAGCGTGGACCAGCCCTGGCGGACTTGCACGGGGTTGTCAGCCACGAGAACGAACCCGTAAATTCTATCCCTGATCTCGGGAGGGAATTTCATGAACCAGATCTTGCTCGTTGGCATGTCTTGTGCAGTAAGATCAATGACTGAACCATGCTTCAACTTAGTCGGCGTTGGATCCGGACTAGGAGGACCGTAGATATCGTCGTCGTCGCTCTCGTCCAGAAAGGGTGTGGCACCCTTGGCCTTCTTCTTGCCCTTTCCTTTGCCCTTGGCATTCGTTGCAGCAACAGCTTTCTTGGGCTCAGGGGTTTTGAGAAGAGGCGGGGTGAAAGTCATCGGAGCACCCCAGGTGTAATGAGCCGTCGACTTGGCCGCAAACGCTGCGCCGTAGTCTCGAGGGATCGGCATCTCACGCTCAGTGAAGTCATCCCAGGTCTTCTTCTTGGTGGCCTTCCTGCGCTTTTGAGGCGGCTTCCGCATGCCATCGTCGTCGCTGTCCGTCTCGGCAAGCTCAAAGCCGCGCTTTTGGGCATACTTGAGAACCGCATCAGGTATTTGACGCTTTGGGGGTTTCTCAGCAGAGGCTCGTTCCTTCCCCTTCGATGACTTGCTCTTGGACTTGGAGGATCCGGTAAGTGCGGACTTGGACGAGCCGGATGTGACAAATCTCTTCTTCTCAGTGGAAGAGGATTTGGACTTCCTTCCGGGAGCCATCTTGGAGGGTTTTTTTTGTAACTTCTGAGGGTATCAGCGACTGTTGCCAGGAAGATGTCAGAAAACTTACTTAGATGAAAGGGGGTATATGATAATATTTGGACCTGCTGGGTTAGATGGTCAGTGTAGATGTCGCAGTCTTTGAACCCAGTGAAGTTTCACTTGCTGCCTTGTCGCTTCTTCGTTCGTGAAATAAGTCTTTGTGGTGGTTTGTCTCTTGTATTACAAGTAAGACACTTCTGCAACGAAAGTTGATGTCAAAGAGAGAGATAGATATGTCATGAAGGTGAGATATGAGGCTGCGACCTTCCCAATGGGTTTAGCAGAGGAAGTAGACGAGAAACTTTTGAAGCAATCGTCAGCTCTCTCCAGATTTTAGACCTCTGGTAGTAGCAAGTCCCTACTTGCCAAACGACCAGGTAGTTAATGAAATGAATGAGCAAAATCCACAAACATGTATTGAAGTTTGGTGAAATTTGTGAGCCACAGACGAAAGCTCCAATGGCAGAATTCAATGCTAATAGAACGAGTGAAAACCGCGAAGAGACTGAAGAGAAGTGTTGTGTTGGTGGAGGATAGAGAAAGGCAAGATCCACGCCGGAGTGGTAGTGTTGATATAGACGCTGGCTCAACTACAGAAGGCAGCTTCAGAGAAGTGATGCCTTCCCGTTGCGGCCGATCAAATGACAGGAGGAGGAGGAGCAGGTGAAAATATGATTAGAAAATAACATGATTTCATATTTGGCTTCTACGACGGCTGTATTGGTTCTGGCAGGAGGGGCTTTTTGAGTGACCATGGTCTTTCTGAATCCATTTACTGATATTCACGATGTCGTTTCGACTTGTTAACTATAATTCATTTGAAAATGCGAGATTTATGTTACAACTTTGGTCGCGACTAAAACAATAGGAAAGTATCCAGTTAGATGAGGCCATGATGTTGTTATGGGAAAAATGGAATAAAAACAGATTCGCTGGGCAAACCGAGAGATGATATTTATTTGCCAATATACTGTCAATCTTCCAATAGTGAGGATGCCACGGGCTAGCCATGCAAGTCATGACAACACAATGAACCCAAGTCGTCATACGAAGGGCGACATAACGAAATTGACCGAAAGAATTCCATCCATTGTGTTCCATCACAATCCATGTTGTCTCAAGGGCTGACTGCATGCACTAGTTGGAGTTGTTGTTCTCTAATCCCACCGGGCGGCCGCTGCGACCCCTGCTAAGGCCCTGTGAAAGTTTGACATGCGCGCCCTTTGGTCTTTATGCCCCTCATCCTCTAACATAGCGCTCCACCATCGATTACGACGCGGGGTTCTTTCAGAAATCGAGATAGGTTTTAATTAGGAGTAGCCAATTATCAGACATGATACCTAGTCCCTGAACATCGATCTAAATGTTCCGAATACGCGGCTGATTCAAGAAATCGTCCGAACTATTCTCGATCCCAACATCGGAAGTCCTTCCGCTCCCCCACCTCGTAAGTCTGGCTTATTTCAACGTACGCCTGAAAAGGACAACCCCTTCTCTCTTTAACCATCATCTTCCATTGCGCATGTTCTCGGTCTATACTACTTTCGCTTTGATGTTGAAGGTGCAGTAACGTCTGATCCCCTCGTCTGCTCTAGCTTGAAGGATCCCCAAGTCTCCACATCTGGCACCCTAGTGCCGTACACTCGACGTTACCTATAAACATCGTGTCTTGACTTTCCTTCGATAAACTTGGCTCTCACTTTTATTACTGAAGATAATCCGCCAAATCACCCGAGACATCAACCACAATGGGCTCGCTCGATTCAGACACCAAGAAGCCATGGATCCAAACACCGTGCATTGCCTCTGCACCCCTGTCTAGGATAGCAGGATGGTACGTTTCAAAAGCACCATCGACCCAAACCAACTAACGGAATGTCTCTAGCAACATCTTCCTCAAGCTTGAGAACCACCAGCCCTCGGGCTCCTTCAAGTCCCGCGGCGTCGGCAACCTCATGTTCCGCGCCGCCGCCGCAGCCCCCGGCGCAGACGTCCACTTCTACTGCTCCTCCGGCGGTAACGCAGGACTCGCCTGCGCGACCTCCGCCATCGCTCTGAACCGCAAAGCCACCATCGTAGTACCCATGATCTCGTCGCCGCTGATGATCTCCAAGCTGCGCCTCCTGGGAGCAGAGGTCCACCAAGTCGGCGACAACTGGCCCCAGGCCGACCGCTACCTGCGCGAGGAGCTGCTCGCCAAGGACCCCGCCGGCGTCTACGTCCCGCCGTTCGACCACCAGCACGTGTGGGATGGCGCATCGACCATTGTCGACGAACTGGTATCGCAGCTGCCTGGCAGCGACATCAACGCCATCGTCTGCTCCGTCGGCGGCGGCGGCCTCCTCAACGGGCTCGCACAGGGCGTTGAACCGGAGCGCTGGCAGGGGACGAAGGGCCGGGAACCCCGTCTGATGGCCGTCGAAACGCGGGGAGCCGATAGTCTGAATGCGAGCGTGTTGGCTGGCGAGCACGTCACCCTACCCGGCATCACTTCGATCGCCTTTTCTTTGGGCGCCACGAGGGTCTCTGAGAGGACCTGGGAGGTCTCGCAGAAGACGCCTGGTTTCCGGAGTGTGACGGTCAGTGATGCGGAGGCGGCGATGGCAACCGTGCGCTTCGTCGACGATGCGCAGCTTGTGGTTGAGGTTGCATGCGGCGCAACGATAGCGACAGTTTACAACGGCATGTTGAGGAAGCAGCTCGGTGCGGGAATGTCGGATGAGGAGTGGGCGAAGCAGAACGTTGTGCTCATCGTCTGTGGCGGTTCGAACATCACGCTTGAGATGTTGAATGGGTACCGTGAAAAGTTTGGCGACGCATTTGCAAGCGCATGATACTGGAGATGGAATGGTCTCTTTTTAGACGATAAAATTAGATGTACACTGCCAAGGCATAAAATAGAAGCTGATAACCAGCGTGAGACGGTGACTTGGCCGTCCTATGTGTCTTCTTGTGTTCTATCTTTATGTGCTTCGTCTATCTCGCATAAGCCACCTCTCGCGATTCTTCTGCTGCCTTCAACCCAGCAGGAGATGACACAAAGTGACCCAGGTCGTTCAGCACCATCGTGACCTCCCCAAAATAGTTGACTTCTCCTTTCTGCGTGAAGCCAACTCTCTTGAATAGCGATATGCTCGCCGCATTCCCCTCTTTGATCTTAACCATCAACCCCTTCAACTCAGCCTTCCTACCCTTGCCTTCGCCCTCAACATACTCCTTCAGAATGCGCTCTTGGTTGCGGTGAACAAACACCAGCAACGTCGTGACAGCAGCGTATCCTACACCCTTGCCACGGTGCTCCTTCGCCGCCACCATAACGTCCACTTCACCGACATAGGCCCCCTCGCCCTCTTCCTCATCGTCGTGGGGATAAACGAAAAAGTTGATGTCGCCAATCATGCGTGCCGCCGCATCGACCTCACCAGCCTTTACGCTGGCCGCATCAGAGGCCGCATCCAGGGGTTGGCAGATGATGAAGGTGAGCTTGTCATGGGACGGCCGCCACGACTGCTGGTTCTCGTACTCCTCCTCCAGCGACAATGGCTCAGAAGCCGTCGCTTCTTGGATGTCCTGTCATAAAAATAAGCATGTGCCTGGACGTCGCGGCGGGTGCATTGGTGCGGCGTTTTGCTGACCGGATCACTCATCCACTCATGATAACGCTCCACATGTCTCGCTTCGTATGGCACAAGCGTCACCGCCGGCGTCGCGATCGCTATGTTCTTGTAAGTCCCTCACATCCAAACGCCCAGCGTCAAACAAATCAGACAGTGTCCTCAAAGTACATGCCTGTGTTCTCATTCAACCTCATCGTGAAGTATGCCAAGGGCGTCCGTCCCAGGCACGAAGTCCCCCACTTGCACCCTCGTTCCAAAAACTAAAAATGCGAGCGAAGCCGATGAGCTGGCCAGCGTCCCCGCCCTGCGCTCCACGCCTGCGTGCTGCCGCTGTCCGAAAGGGGCAAACAAACGACCCCGTCCGCGGAAGCAGACGCGCGATGGCCGCGAGGTATGGACCCTCCGAACCCCTGGAAGTCCTCAACAAGAACAAGTGTCAAGGTGCCAGAGTGGTTAATGGGCTGCCCTGCTACGGAATGCCTCGGTTTACCGAGACAACCTAGCTGCCAGGCAGTGGCTTCGGTCGCGCAGGTTCGAATCCTGTCCTTGACGTGTTTCCTTTTTGCGCCTTTGAGAACGGCCGGTTGAGTCACTCGGTAGTGTAAGTTGCGAGCTGAGTTTTTGGCTGAGGCGGATTTAGTGCCCCGAGCTTAGTGAGCTTGGGTGGGTGGTCGGGTGCTGAAGTGCACAGGAACTGCGGGGTACTTAGTGGACATTCCATATCTTTCAGTTCATCCACCGTCAAGGTGCCAGAGTGGTTAATGGGCTGCCCTGCTATTGTCCCTTGGATGATCGTTGTTCAGGCAGTGGCTTCGGTCGCGCAGGTTCGAATCCTGTCCTTGACGATTCTCTTTTGCCCCTTTTGATGAATCCGCGTGACATATTCTTTTTTGACCGGTGCTGCTCGTGCTGGCCTTGTTGCTGGGTCCAGCTGGTGGGTTTGCGTACTGCTTAGGACCGAGCGCATGCACTCATCGCATCTACTTACAACTAATTGACACCTACCTCATCTCGAGATATCCTGTTATTTCTGTGTTATAAAACTTCCCATTATATGCTGGCTGACTTAGTTACCACCCGCTGATTTAAACATCACGTTGAAAAGAAGAGGCGACTTAGTTTTTAAGAGCAGTCACGCTTTACGCCGGGCTGACCTGGAGACCTTCTCTTTCGTTCATCGTCATATAATTACAACATCTTACACTTCCACCAGTGATGGGGAGACTTTGCATTTACATTCAAATTCATAGAGAAACTGGAAACGCCTAGACTCACTCCTCAGCGGCCTGCGGAGGAAATAAAGCGTTCCACTTCCCTTCCTTGCCTGGATCGCCCACCGGGACACCATACGTCAAGTCTGCGCCAAACGTCGCATCCTGGAAGCGCCGCTTGCCGGCGTCAACACCCATGGTATCCAGCAGAAGCCCCATCTTGGTCGGCATGACAGGCTGGAGCAAAATACCCGCCACACGCGAAGCCTCCGCGGTGTAGAAGATGCACTCGTGGAGCGTGGCTTGGTCTTTGGGATCCTCCGACTTGACCAACTTCCACGGTGCCAGGTGGGAAATGTACTTGTTCGCCTAGAAGCCTTATTAACATATTTCCCGCAGAGCATTTCCAGGTAAGCGCGCTTACGTCGGCGAGAACATCTAGCACACCACGGATGGCAGCATTGGGATTCAACTCATCCATGCTCTTTGACATATCAGACGCCATGCCGTTGATACCTGTTTTCAGCTTCTCGCTGCTCGACAGAGTGGCGCTATTCTCTTCCGTCCACGCGACAGAGCTCAACAGAGAGGCGCTGTTCTCTTCCGCCCACACGACAGAGTCCCTGAGCTTCCACGTTTTGCTCTTGGCGACCCTGTTCATCAAGTTGCCCACGGTCGACTGAAGATCCTTTTGATATCGTGCTACGACCAACGAGTTCTCGTAGTCAGCATCCTGCTCAATGCCGCCGTCGCGCATCATGAAATACCGCATCGTATCTAACCCCCATCGGTCGACGGCGAAGAACGGGTTGACGACGTTTCCCAAAGACTTGGACATCTTCTTCTTCCCCAACGTCCAATGCGCATGGCTTAGCAACTGCTTCGGCAGTGGAAGATCCAGCGCCATCAGCAGCGCGGGCCAATAGATTCCGTGGAACCGCACGATATCCTTTCCGATGACATGCACGTCCGCCGGCCAGCCTCCCTCGTGCTCTTTCCCAGGCTGCCATGTCGGAAACCCGGCTTTCGTGAGGTAGTTAATCAGCGCGTCCACCCAGACATAAATCGTCTGCGAGGGATCGTCCGGTACGCGGACCCCCCAGTCTAGCCTCTGTACGGGTCTTGATATCGACAGGTCCTCGAGGTTGTTTTGTACCCAAGCGATAACTTCCTTCTGCCTCGCCCTTGGTACGATCCAGTCCGGGTTCTCCTCGTAGAACTTCAGCAAGCGGTCCTTGAGCGCCGTCATACGGAAGTGGTAGTTCTTCTCCTCGACCCACTCAACCTCGTTGCCCGTCTCGATCGACGCCATCACCGTCCGTCCCGTCGACGGCACCAACGTCCTCTCGACCTCATTCGCGGCGTAGAAGCACTCGTCGCTCACACAGTACCACCCCTCATGCTTACTCTCGTAGATATATCCCTTCTCCTTCAGCAGGAACCAGAAATGCTGCACAGCCTCCATATGGTCCGGGTCGGTGGTGCGAATGAAGTAGTCGTTGTCCATGCCAATCACCTGCGCCAGGTCGCGGAACTTCTCGGCCGTCGAGTCGCAGAACTCTTTGGGGGCGACGCCCTGTTTGGCGGCCGCCTGCTGGACTTTGGACCCGTGTTCGTCGGTGCCGGTGCACAGGATCGCGGGCCTGCCCCTGAGGACCTGCCAGCGCTTGAGGACGTCGGCGAGGAGCATCGAGTACATGTGGCCGACGTGCGGGGCTGTACATGTCCTCGTTAGCTCGCAGGTCTCCGTGATTTCGTCGCAATATCTTCACATACATGCATTGACGTAGAAGATGGGCGTCGTCACATAATACGGCTTTTCGCTCTTGCTGTCGGAGCTCGCGAACCGTCGCAATGTCGGCCCATAGCTGCACGAGGGGCAGACCCAGGCCGGTCGCAGCGCTGGTGCATAGCGGCGAGTACGGAAGGCCGAAGCTGCAGGTAGTCTTAATCGTCTCATTGCGGCTGTGTTCGTCAAGAAGCTACCTTTGGAAAAGCATGTCGCCGTCGAGCATGCAGGTAGATCGTGAGTCGAAGGGCGCGACTAATCACTGCCTCTCGAAATATGCCGACCTTCTGGAGGCACCGTACCAATTGAGTCAAGCGATAACGGTAGAGAGCTCTTATCGGTGAAAGATCCCTGCACCCCGCCATAATTCTGACCGAGTCCCCTTTACCTCGACAACTTTGCGACAACCTCGAGTAAACAACAAAGCTGCGCATTCGAAAAAGCTCCAGGTCCCATTCCACAAAACACCGTCGAAGACAGGACAACGAAATGTCTCTCCCATCTCGCGAAACGGAAATGAGGGCCTCCTCAGATGGTGCGCAACCTTTTAGCCCACGAGCAGCAGCACCACACTGACGCAGGCTCTCCCCTCCCCCAGCGGCCTCAAACTTCGCAGATGCCTACTACGACGCCCTCAACCGCCGCAAGCTCAAAGGCACAATGTCGCAGTTCTACACGACGGCCTGCTCAAAGTACCCCACGCCGCCCGACATCTCCGTCAACGGCGCCGTCCTCGCTAACGGGCCCGACGAATACACCACCCTCCTCGACACGCAGGGCCCCGACGTCCGCTACGAGATCGAGTCCCTCGACGCCCACGTCGTCAACCCAGACTTCTCCCTCGGCTGCCCCGAGCACCTCCAGGGCGGCGACAAGAACGGCGCAAAGTGCAGCGTAATGGCCCAGGTCACCGGCCGCGTCTACTACGGCAAGGGCCGCGATGCCGCCGCCAAGACGTTTAACGAGGTCTTCGTGCTGGTGCCGAACTGGGACACCTTCGGCAAGAACCCCCCGCGCGGCGTCAGGCGATGGTTGATTATGAGCCAGAACTTTCGCGCGCTGTGAGGTTGTGCATGGATCCGAGAGCGGAGGATATACCCCAGAATGAAGACATGTCGAGACGACCGGGTTGCTTCGCAATTCGTAATGAGAGGTACGGGCAATGACTCACTGGTCGCTGAAGAGCCTGCTAACTTGGCAACAGAATGGGATTATGGACGAAAATCGGAGCTACGGGAGATCCCTGTCATTTTGGCAGCATGAAAGCGAGGATGATCGTCTTTAAAGAACATCCTATTAGCGTGTGTCTTCTTGGACAAGATAGCTCAATAACACATCAATTATCACACAAACACGCTACCTATGCAAGTTGCTGCTTCCTGTACTTCCAGTATCCCGCCCTCACGGGATCCCACTTCTCCGCCAGTCGGTCGAGGTACTTGCCCGCCTCCTCCTTCTGGCCCTTCTCCGCGTACACCTCGGCCAGGAAGTCGAGCGCATGTGTACTGCGCACCACCTCCTTGTCCTCGCCCTCTCCGATGCCGTTGACAAACTGCGCCGCAAACGCCTCCGCGGTCTCTAGCTTCCGGCCGCCCTTGACGAGCACGCCCCTAAGGTAGTTCCACGCAGCTTGGTTCTGCGGTGCCAACAGCGCCTTCTCCTCGACGTACCTGACCTCCCGGTCCACAATGTCTGCGGGGACCTTCGGATCGTGCTCCGTCGCGTGCGAGCCCTCCGTCGAAGCTGCCGGGTCCGAAAACACGAGAAAGAACCGGTGCGACCAGGCCGAGTTGTTCCTCACGTCCTCCTCGATCCAGTTCTGCGTCGACAGCAGCTCCTGCAGGTTCCACAGCCCCAGCTTACGCACCAGATACTGCCTGTAGCTCCACACGTGATAGTTTTTGGTGTCCTCTTCAAGCATGCGCGTGAGGAAGTCCGTTTCGGACCTTCCGAAGCGCTTCACTTCGTCTGGGCTGCCCTTGATGTGGTTGTAGTGGTGGTCAAGCAGCAGCTGGCGGTGGTGCCAAATCTGGTAGTTCTTGATGTGCTCGAGCGACACCTCGTTGAGCCACTCGATCTCATCGATAACGGAAATTTCGAGCGCCTCGACGATCTTGAACCGGTACAGCCATACGGTGTAGTGTGCCGGGTTCATGGAGATAACGTGGTCCGTCAACCGCAAGCACCGCGGGCTATACTCTTCGGCGACCATGACGGCGCGCAGGTAGCTCATGACTGGAAAGAACACGCACAAAGTCAGTGGGACATGAAGATAGGCAGAATCCCCGAGGCCTCCATTTCCCGAAACAAAACACACGTCGGTGCAAGACACAGAAAGAAGAAGTGAATTATTTACCCTCAGCATAGTCCTCCGGGTAAGCAATCGTAGCCAGCGCGCCCTCGGGCTCCTCGGCGGGGATGGGCACGACGTCGTCCCACTCCGGGTCGGTCGCGTATGGCCCCATCTTCTCCCCGTAGAGCTCCTTCCTAAGCGCCGCCATCTCCCGTCGTCGCTTCCTCTCTTCGTCAATGTCCTCCTGCGTGATCTCTGTGACCTTGCCCTCGGCCGCGTCCGGAACGCCGTCTCGCATAAACTCTCTCCGCTGAAGGAACCTGCGGTGCAGCACCTCAAGCGCCGTGAGCTGTGCCTGTTTCGCGGCTCGAACGGTGAATTGGTCGAGCGGATACTCGCCCAGGTCGCGCCCGTTCTTGTCCTTGCCCCAGTCGTAGACGACCTTCTGCTCGGCGCTTCTCGGCTTCTCGAGTCGGCGGATCGGCGGCGATTCCCTGCTGACCTGCTTCCAGAACTCGCGCTCTGCTTTGTTGGTGAGGAAGAACTCTCTGTTGGCTACACGGCGCACCAGGCTCGCGTTGACCCAGGACTGTCGCTCCGCGGGCGAGAGGGCGTGCAGACCTCCGGCTTCCTCACGTCGTCGCTCGTGCGGATTCGTCAGGTGGTAGCGCTGGAAAGACCGCTCGTTGATCGTCTTCGGGGGTTGTTGGGTTTCAGCCGCAGCTTGCGCTTGTTGTTTGCCTATGATGGAGGGAGACCGTCAGTTTTGGAGAACGCCATCGAATGGGATTGATGCATCAGGCCATACAGGAGCTGTGCGGCCTTGACAGCAGCGCAGAGGGATGGACATCACTCCAACGTACTTTTGTTCTCAGCGTCCTTAGCTTTGGAGCTGGCCTTGGATTTGGCGGGCATGTCTGCGGCTGGCTTGGTCTATGGCGGGGTTGAGCTGGCGGCGAAGTATGTCCCGGACATGGAAAATGTTCGCCCATGGCTGCTACCCCACCACGGGAACGCCCACCTGAGACCCTTTGATCTAGCGAAGCCACCTTGGACAGCTCTGTTGTACGACATTAGGCACGACAGCATTGTTGTCACTGAAAATCCGTTTGCAGCATCGGAATAATAAAATTAAAAGGAATTTAGCACCGCAAGGTGGGCTTCTAACATTTGCACGCCGATTATATCTGATACATAGAGCCCCCTCTCATATTCCCGTCTCCTGCGCCATTATCATGTCGTACAGCGAATAAGCTGTAGTATCAAAAACTTTTCCCGATTCTGCGCCCTGGCAAAGCCGTGAAAGTGTAGAAGCAAATTGAAGAAAGTGAGTCGCCGTGGTCCTTACCGACTCTCGACCCTCCAGAACTTCCAGCCCTCCCTCTCACCTGCACCGCCGTGGACGCCTACCAGCTTCTCAACGCCCTCGTTACCATCGGCATTCAAGAAGCTGTCCAGGTCGATCTCCATACCACCTTCGTTGTCTTCCACGCCGTTCTTCAGAACAGCAGGCCAGAGCACGCCAACACCATCACCGCCGAGAGTTGTCTCAAACTTTTCGTAGCCTTCGTCTTCGAGTTGAGTCTCAAGCCGCACGAGCTTGTCCTTGGGCACATCAGGCTTCAGCAATGTGATAGAGCAACCGCCACCGCCAGCACCAGTCAACTTCGTCCAGCCGATGCCTTCGTGGTCGACAAGCTCTCTTATCCGCTCGAGGCGAGGGTGTGATACGCCCAACGAGACAAGAAGTCCATGATTGATAGTCATGAGTTCTCCGACCTGTTGCAGGCTTTCCTCACTCTTGTTGTCGAACTTCTCATCGCCGATAAGGCCGTCTGCCGTATTCGTCACCTTATCGATGGCGTCCAGAATGCTTCCGACCAATTTCGGGTGGCCGCTCTTCAACTTGGCGACCTTGGCGACCTCAAAAGCAGTTGACTTAGCCTGCTTTGTATCGACCAACAGAAGCGGTAGTTCAGGGAAATCCCACAGCGGGCGCACTGCTGGAGGCTTGTTGTAATCTGTGCGCTGGAAGACCACGGCCTTGCCTTGGGTCGCAACAGTATTGTCCACGCCTGAGGGGTTTCCGTGTATGCACATCTCGCATACGAATGCCCATCTGTTGATTCTCTCCACTTGCAACCTAGCCTCATCAGGAGGTTGGTCGGGATGTGGGCCCGACAAGGTACGCAATTGCAAGAGAAGAGCGGCCGCCAGGCACACCGCGATGGAAGCGCTGCTACCCAAGCCTGCGCCGATAGGAATTGTTGATCTCAGAGTGTACAAGCAGCCCGTAAACGATCGGTCGCCGAGAGCCAGGAAGATGTAGAGGAACGCGGAGGCCGAGTTTTGATGCACTTTCCGCACATCGTCGGGCTTGTGTGGTGAGACCTCGTTGAGATGTGGCTGAATGGCTGCGACGAGGTCTTGATCGAGCTCCGTGACCAAGTCATAGTACGATTTCTTCTTGGAGGGGTGCTGGAATGCCGCCCACGGGAGGTCGTCAATGTTCCACGTGTGGTGCAAGTCGATGTCTGGGAAGCGCAAGGAGACAGTTCTCCTAGATTTGGATAGCGAGGTTACAAGGAGGTACGATCGTAAGGAGATAGCCGCGGCGATTGCGGCCTGTTGGTTTCTCAAATGTCAGTGAATGCGCCAGAAATTAGGAAAAGGGGGTTTTTCGCAACTGACCTTGCCGTGAACGACAGCGTGCTCACCAAAAACAATGACTTTGCCAGGCGCTGAGACCATGAAGGCGGGCATCATGGGACTTGATTGTTTGCGATCCATTTTGAGACGATGGGATAAGTTGCCGTTTCCGTTCACAAAAGAGGTTGTCGGTACACCGTTGACGGCGACAGCATCCAGGGGGTTTCGC